GTGTTCAGCAACAGTCCTTATCTCACTGTTGCTATATACAGTAATCAACGGACAATCAAGAACATAATGGGCCAGGGTGTGAGACCTTAACATACCACATTGTTTACACTTGGTGTCATTATCACTAACAACTATCCCATATTGCCAGTAATATTTGTACCCAAGCCTGAGCCGCATGTACACAGTCACTCCAAGCATGTCTCCTTTACTATAAGTGAAATGTTTTGACTCACACACCTGTAGTGTTGCCTGGTGTTACTTCCCTCATACAGTATACCTCTCCTCTCCTCTTCTGCCTCTCCTTCAATATTTATAATTTTCCTTCTTATTTGTCTCATTGTGAAAACATTCAATGTCAACTTGTGGTGTTGATGTGGCGCGTTTGGCCAGGGAGCCGGTGGCTGAGCGGACAGCACACTGGGCGCGTGATCCTCTGGTGACGGGTTCGATCCCGGGCGCCTGAGAGAAACAATGGGCAGAGCTTTTTTCACCCTGATGCCCGTGTTACCTAGCAGTAAATAGGTACCTAGGTGTTAGTCAACTGTCACGGGCTGCTTCCTGGGCGTGAAGGCCTGGTCAAGGACCGGGCCGCGGGGACACTAAGCCCCGAAATCATCTCAAGATAACCTCAAGTTACGGTCATCCGCCTCCTCCTTGACCACTTTTCCAACATGAGATGGAGTCCTCGTGAATGTCACTTTGAGATAGTTGTGGTGTTTGATATTGCCATCAGCGTGTTATACCCCAGAGTGTGAGCTGTGAGTCCCTGTGCCCTCCCTGGGCCGTGTACACTCCCTCAGGGGTCCAGTGCTCCTTCCTCTCCCCTCAACCTTCATGTTATCTGCGCTCAGTGATAGGCTGGAGATAACACCCGCTTATCGACCTGTGTAGTACACCTGCAACCCAATTATTTTCAACACCCTAATTTGAGTTGTCGAGTGTTGAGGAGTCTGGAGCCTCATTACCCCACTCTCCTTGTGTGCTCCCGGGGAGGGGCGAGGCGAGGCCGTTATTTCACGAACTATTGAGACAAAATATATAAAGAAATATAACTATATATGGTATAAATTCTGGTGTGAGAATATGGCGGCAGCAGGGGAGGGAGCCGGCCGATAATTTAATATTTCAGTTTGGTCGCGGGTTCGAGCCCCGCCGCCACGCACCTGTTATCTTGTAACTCGATGTAAATCTTGTTTGACTAAACTCGCCGCGGAAGACTTGGTTACGACACAAGTCCTGCAGCCGGGGATTATTACAGGATTTACTGTAAATGTGATTGAGGGTGGTGGGAAATTATGGCGGGTTGTGATTGGCTGTAATTATACAAGGGAGACCTGGCCCCAGCCAATCACGCTCGCCACCTCACCCGCCATTACCGCGCGTCTGTAAATTGATGACCTGTCATAGTTTCCCGCCAATTTAATCATATATCCGATGAATGTCTTCGTAAATTTATGGACGGTGGGGCACCCCGCGTTGGTTTACCAGGATGAACGTGCTTAACCAAATTAATCGATATGTTTAATAACCAGATATCGTTGCCAATGGAACTGTTATATATTTGATGAATAACTACGGTATTCCTGTAATGGAAAAATCCCCGTGAACATCCCAAACAATTTCACACAGGTTTAGTACACGTTGTCAACGGAACATGTTGAAGCGTGTGGGATAAAACTGAACAAGCATTGAACAATTGAGAGAGAAGATTGAATGTTGCAAAAAGATGAGTTCCCAGCGTCATATTTTTAACCCATTTACAAATATTTAAAATGCAGTCTGGATGTTTATAAACATTACAATTTTAATCAAAATATAAATAATGTTGACACCTTGTATATTCAACGTTCACTGATGACTTTTAACTGTTAACATGAGATCTCGTTTTAAAAAACATTGGTCGTAAACCTCTGCATTTATTTATTTGTTCATTTTAGAAGTGGCGATTGTACCGGAGTGTGTGTAAAAATGCCTCGCACTGTTAACTAATTCAGAAAATATATAGTTAAAATGTTGTTTACGGTGTGTGAGGCCAGAACACTCACTGGGAGCCATACACCATGTATTTGTATACACGGGATACATATATACACGCATTACACGTGGCACGTGTAATATCCGCGGGTGTATATCACACACACACACACACACACACACACACACACACACACACACACACACACACACACACACACACACACACACACACACACACACATTAGTATGTTTGGGTAGCAGTCCCTCCTGCAGGCATATATTATTGAATGTGACCTAAAAGGTGAGATCAATTATTTTAGGACGTATCTTCTCTATATTATTGTAATTTTTCATCACTTGAGAAGGAAGTTGGAAATAAAGCAAGGAAGAACATAGTCTCTCTACATACACCAGACTAAACCATGACAATCTGTGATTTTCATTTATGTCTCACGCCATTGTGATGTAATTATAATATATATATATATATATATATATATATATATATATATATATATATATATATATATATATATATATATATATATATATATATATATATATTATTATTGTTGAATATGACCGAACGGATAAGATTAATGATTCTAACATGAATCTTTTCCATATTTCTTATGGTTTTCTTCACTGTCGGGGGTAGTTGAAAAATTAACTCTCCAAAATTCATTTTCACATTTTATTTATGGTCTGACACCTATAAGCGTTTCGCATGACACTTCTTACATTTTTAAAGACAATTTTACACACTCAGATCGTGCTTATACTCGTTTTTGGGTGAGGTGATAGGACACAAACCAATGGAAAAACACGAATCAATGGGTATATTGCTTGTTTTATCTTGTTTCTGTGCTGGTTCGGGGGTCTTGAAGTAGGGACCCCAAACCCTCACTTGGAACAGTGGAATGTTCCCCACTGCGAACATCACATACATAGGTTCGAACCCTCATCACGGCCCTTGTGGAATTGTTCATCACAGTTTGTATAGACTTCAAAGGGTGCATATTATAATTGGCGGGTTTATATTATTTTGGCGCGAAGTGTGGTTAGTGTTGCATGACAACACACTAGTAATACTACTACTGATAACAAGTCATTCATGTTATTTTCTTATCTTCATAATGTCCTTCACTCTTCATAATGTCCTGCCTCACTCAGCAGGTGTTGTGCCTCACTCAGCAGGTGTTGTGCCTCACTCAGCAGGTGTTGTGCCTCACTCAGCAGGTGTTGTGCCTCACTCAGCAGGTGTTGTGCCTCACTAAGCAGGTGTTGTGCCTCACTAAGCAGGTGTGGTGCCCCACTCAGCAGGTGTGGTGCCCCACTCAGCAGGTGTGGTGCCTCACTCAGCAGGTGTTGTGCCTCACTCAGCAGGTGTTGTGCCTCACTCAGCAGGTGTTGTGCCTCACTCAGCAGGTGTTGTGCCTCACTAAGCAGGTGTTGTGCCTCACTCAGCAGGTGTTGTGCCTCACTCAGCAGGTGTTGTGCCTCACTCAGCAGGTGTTGTGCCTCACTCAGCAGGTGTTGTGCCTCACTCAGCAGGTGTTGTGCCTCACTAAGCAGGTGTTGTGCCTCACTCAGCAGGTGTGGTGCCTCACTCAGCAGGTGTTGTGCCTCACTCAGCAGGTGTTGTGCCTCACTAAGCAGGTGTTGTGCCTCACTAAGCAGGTGTTGTGCCCCACTAAGCAGGTGTTGTGCCCCACTAAGCAGGTGTGGTGCCCCACTAAGCAGGTGTTGTGCCCCACTAAGCAGGTGTTGTGCCTCACTCAGCAGGTGTTGTGCCTCACTCAGCAGGTGTTGTGCCTCACTCAGCAGGTGTTGTGCCTCACTAAGCAGGTGTGGTGCCCCACTAAGCAGGTGTTGTGCCCTTCTCAGCAGGTGTGGTGCCCCACTCAGCAGGTGTGGTGCCCCACTCAGCAGGTGTGGTGCCCCACTCAGCAGGTGTGGTGCCCCACTAAGCAGGTGTTGTGCCCCACTCAGCAGGTGTTGTGCCTCACTCAGCAGGTGTTGTGCCTCACTCAGCAGGTGTTGTGCCTCACTCAGCAGGTGTTGTGCCTCACTCAGCAGGTGTTGTGCCTCACTAAGCAGGTGTGGTGCCCCACTAAGCAGGTGTGGTGCCCTCACTAAGCAGGTGTGGTGCCCCACTAAGCAGGTGTGGTGCCCCACTAAGCAGGTGTGGTGCCTCACTCAGCAGGTGTTGTGCCTCACTCAGCAGGTGTTGTGCCCCACTAAGCAGGTGTTGTGCCTCACTAAGCAGGTGTGGTGCCCCACTAAGCAGGTGTTGTGCCCCACTAAGCAGGTGTTGTGCCTCACTCAGCAGGTGTTGTGCCTCACTCAGCAGGTGTTGTGCCTCACTCAGCAGGTGTTGTGCCTCACTCAGCAGGTGTTGTGCCTCACTAAGCAGGTGTTGTGCCCCACTAAGCAGGTGTTGTGCCCCACTAAGCAGGTGTGGTGCCCCACTAAGCAGGTGTGGTGCCCCACTAAGCAGGTGTTGTGCCCCACTCAGCAGGTGTTGTGCCCCACTCAGCAGGTGTGGTGCCCCACTCAGCAGGTGTGGTGCCCCACTCAGCAGGTGTGGTGCCCCACTCAGCAGGTGTGGTGCCCCACTAAGCAGGTGTTGTGCCCCACTCAGCAGGTGTTGGGCCTCACTAAGCAGGTGTGGTGCCTCACTAAGCAGGTGTGGTGCCTCACTAAGCAGGTGTGGTGCCTCACTAAGCAGGTGTGGTGCCTCACTAAGCAGGTGTGGTGCCCCACTAAGCAGGTGTGGTGCCCCACTAAGCAGGTGTGGTGCCCCACTAAGCAGGTGTGGTGCCCTCACTAAGCAGGTGTGATGCCCTCACTAAGCAGGTGTGGTGCCTCACTAAGCAGGTGTTGTGCCCCACTAAGCAGGTGTTGTGCCCCACTAAGCAGGTGTGGAGCCCCACTAAGCAGGTGTTGTGCCCCACTAAGCAGGTGTTGTGCCCCACTAAGCAGGTGTGGTGCCCCACTAAGCAGGTGTGGTGGTGTTGCAGGTGTTCAGCGGTGAGGGGAAGCGGTACGTGAGCACGGTGGACCCGCGACGCAGCAACTGGACCCGCTACCTGAGACCCGCCCCGGACCGTGACTCTGCCAACCTGGTGGTCGTCCTCAGACCCGTCCTCGACCCCGGTGAGTGTGTCCTCGTCCTCAGACCCGTCCTCGACCCCGGTGACTGTGTCCTCGTCCTCAGACCCGTTCTCGACCCCGGTGAGTGTGTCCTCGTCCTCAGACCCGTCTTCGACCCCGGTGAGTGTCCTCGTCCTCAGACCCGTCCTCGACTCCGGTGAGTGTGTCCTCGTCCTCAGACCCTGTTACGGTGCCCTCTCCTATTTCTTTCGTTTGCCGGCTTAAAGAGTCATATCAGCTCTCCCTACTGATTCTCTGAGGTTCAGGGAGTCTAATGATATATGTGGCGACCAGACCGGCTGCCATTTAATGGAAGGAGGTTATATTATAAGTTGTAAATAAAGGAAAATTGGCGCCCTGTTATAAAATGAAACAGTATCCCCTACGGCAGATGTGACCTTGTGGAAGGGACACTATGCCGATCGCGGATTGGCCGACGTAGGTCGCGGGCGACAAATCAGGGCCCGCCATGACGTCACCGAGTGCCCCGGGCGGCGCCAACGTCAGGGTTGTACTGACCGTGGAAGCGACAGGACGCGCCTCGGTTTGCTCTCAAGAATTGGAGGCTCTGCAAGCCTTGTCCAGTGGATTGAGCTGACCATCGCCGCCAACATAGTTATTGGAGACCCTGCGCTTCTGGGAAGCCAAAGAGGAACCAAGTTCAGTGAGCAGAGAAGTGCCCAAACTTGGAAAATAGTCGGCGACGACGCTGGGCGGCGCCGCTGGCTGGACGTTGAGGTCTGGAAGGTGGGCGAGCAAGCTAGCTGTGACTGGGGTCACATCCACTGAGAATCTTGGAAGGACGACACAGTGCCTAGGACAAGGAGCGACGCCCTGTGGGAGAGGCGAGTGTGGGGAAAAATAGTGATTAGCTCAGCGCCCATCGATGAACCAGGATTGGGGCAGCTGAATCTCAGGGATTGGAACGGCGACGACGCGAAGGCTTCACGACACCTGAGGACCTGTGGAACGCCCTGGATCGTCGAGGATCGACCCAAGGAAGCGTGGGAACCTCACACCATCGAGGGACAGGCGTCGTGAGCCAGGAGTGTAAGGTAGATCATTTTTCCCTCCCATTACCCCTTGTATGAGTAGGCTAGTTAGGCCACAATATTTACTTGTGTATGTGGCAGCAAGACTTTATTACTTTAATAGTAGAATAGGCTGCAAAGCAGCTTGTGTCCAGGACTGTCAGAGAGGACAGCGTGTATGGATGGCAGGACAGTGAAGAAGAGGTGCCGACGTGGTGAAGAGGCCCTCCTGTGAGAGTGTGAGACTCCTGTCTTCCTGCCCATTTGAAGGAGTGTTGGAGGTCGTGGAAGAAGAGGCGGACGATCTCCAGACTCATCATCCATAATCCATATTCATGTATTACTTGTGATTGTGTGTGTGTGTTCATGTAATTTGCGTCAGTAAATCCACACATTTTATTACTGTGTTTGAGTGTGCCTCCATTTGTGATATTTCTCTACGAGCATACATTTCTGGCTACAAACGATATATAATACACCCACTGAACTGCATTGCTGGGGTGCAGATATAATAACCCAGCTGGCGACCTTGCTAAGAGGAAGATAGAGAAGACAGGCGGGAAAGGAGTTCCTGCAACCTTTTTTTGTCTGGCAGGCAAGACTCAGGGAGGCTATGGTTATAGGTAAGCCTGAGTCTTCCTTCACTCCCCCACGGGTCTAGGCCGGAACTGTTAACAGCAGTTTCCCCGTGGTTGACTGAAGGGCTTCCAGGGTGAATCAGTGGCACCCCTTTGTGGTGGAAGCAAAGACCTGCGGAGGTGGGCATTGTTGGTCCTATCTTGTGTGACCAAGGAGACTCCGGTGAATCCAGGGAGTCGGAGGGGCTGAGTATTTGGGCCCTTTGAGCCCCTAGCCGCCGAGTGTTAGCAGAGCCCCGGACCGCCCACCCCCACGTGACAAGAGAACTGGCGACCTCGCCAGGATTCGAACCCCAGTAGCCAAGAACTGGGAACTTCGCCAGGAAGCGTGGATCAAGCTACAGTGTGGACCAAATTTCAAGACAAGTGTTGCCAGGGTACTAATACAGTGTGGCCAGTGAATTTGGTGGTACTGTTACTCAACCAGCTAAGGGACTGAAACGGTGAAATTAGTGCCTACTAACTTGTCTGTGCTGTCGTGTATGCTCAATGATATAGAGATGGAGGAAGACAACGTAAAGAAATTTATTGACACAAGGGACGAGAGAATTTTGGAAGAGTGTACCAAGGCCCAGCTCCAACAAGTGGCAAACCACTTTGGGATCAGGTTGAGGACGACTAAGGTAGCGGAGCGAAGGATAGAGATCATGGCACAGCTCACAGCTCGAGAGGAAGCGACGGGAGAGGAGCCATCTCAAGAGGAGCCGTCCCGAGGAGAGCCGTCGCAAGGTGAACCGTCCCGACTAGGGCCACCCCAAGCGCCTACCAGTGTGGAGAGAATTCACAGTGAACATGGGAGCAGTGGAAGGTCCGGCTGTAGTAAGAGGAGCCTGCAACTGGAAATAATGAAGATGCAACTGGAAGCCCAGCTGCGACGAGAGGAAAGAGAAGCGCAAATGCAGCGAGAGGAACGTGCAGCTGAGCTGCAGCGAGAGGAACGTGCAGCTGAGCTGCAGCGAGAGGAACGTGCAGCTGAGCTGCAGCGAGAGGAACGTGCAGCTGAGCTGCAGCGAGAGGAACGTGCAGCTGAGCTGCAGCGAGAGGAACGTGCAGCTGAGCTGCAGCGAGGTGAGCGAGAAGCACGGCTGCAGCTGCAGCGAGAGGAGCGAGAAGCTCGGCTGCAGCGGGAAGAAGGAGAGAGACAACTGCGACTGGAGGAGATAAGGGCAAAGAAAGAAGTCGAATTGCGTCGCGTTGAACGTGGTCTGCCCTCACTACCTGCACGGCGGGATGACCTCAATGTAAGGGAACGTGACTTACCTGCGTTCGAACCACAAGAAGCTGAGGCGTTCTTCGAACACTTTGAACGGATAGCAACTCTGAAGGAGTGGCCGGAAGATGATTGGGCTGCTCTGGTCCAGGGCAGGTTGACTGGTGAGGCCCGGGAAGCCTATAACATGCTGGACCTAGAGGAGTGTACTAGTTACGACGCGATTAAGAATGCGGTTCTCCACTCATTCCGGCTGACTCCGGAGATGTACCGGAAGCGGTTCAGAGAGTGTACTAGAGCGTCGGGAAAGACTTATGCCGAGACCGCCAGGGATATGGAACGGAAATTCCTACGATGGTTGAAGGCGAAGGAAGCGGAGTCGGCGGATAATATCAAACGACTGATATTGATGGAGAAGTTTATGTCAGTGCTCCATCCTGAGTTGCGAGTAAGGTTGAGAGAAGCAGGTATTAAGGACCTGAAGGCTGCAGCAGACCGAGCCGACATGCTGGAGGAGGCACTACATCTCAGGAGGGAGGGGCCGCCCAGACACTCGCCTTACCCCAGGTCGGGAGGGAACCTTAGGAGTTCAGGAGGAGCGAGGACGAGTGGGGACTCTCCCAAGAGTAGTGTGCCCGATGAAGTAACGCGGTTCAAGAGCTCAAGGGACGCGGGGAGGAAGCCCCAAGCTGTGAGCAGTGGACCTAGCTCAGGAGCAAGTGCTGCAGTCCCGGACACGACGACAGGGAGTCCAAGGAGAACCCAGGGGACGTCTGCAAGTGGTACCGCCAGAGTGACTGGCGAGTGGCCGCCCAGGAGAGGCAGCCGATGCTACAACTGTGGCGTGAGAGGACATTATGCCCGCGAGTGTGAGGAGCACCAAAGGAATGTAGGATTAATGTTGGAAGAGGAGAGAGTGTTTGTTCACACCCCATATTATAGTGGACCCAACGTGAATGGTTGGGAAATGAAGTTGGGTGAACATCCCTTCGTTTTCGGGGCCAACGTGAAGTTTGGAAGGTCAGACCCAGTGGAGGTTGCCGTGCTTCGAGATACGGGTGCTGACATAAGTATGGTGACCAGGAGTATTCTCCCCAAGGAATTTAATGATTCACCTGTGGGAGTGGTGAGGATACGCAGTGTGGGGGAGGAATACAGGTTGCCACTTCACGAAGTACAGCTGATTGCCGACTGCGGAGTCGAGAAAGCTATAGTAGCTGTAGCCCCCAAGTTACCCCTAGAGCATGTACAGATGGTGCTGGGTAATGACCTCGGAGGAGGCAGGATACAACCCGATTGGGCCAGGAGTGCCTATGTTGCAAGCAGCGGTACAACCCTGCCGGGTGAGGTATCGGGCGTTCCAGATGGTCGTGAGGAACCCGACTTCGCCAGGGAAAACGTCGCCAGAGACGACGACAACGAGGGCGAGAGTGCAGAGAGGTCGTCGGAGGTTGTGGAAAACCCCGACGGGGACCTCCGACCAAGCCTGATGATGCGTGTGGAGGAGTGGCGAGGAGCAGCTGTACAAACGCCTGGGGCGGTGAAGAGGCTGCAGACCGCACTCCCTCCATACAGAAACGTGAATAAAGTAAGCTCAGTGGATGAGCGAACGGCAGTGAGGGGCAGAGTGGAGGAACCACGACGCAGTGCACCCTATGCCGGCCAGATGAATAGTGGTAGGTGCAAGATGGACCACCGTGGTGAGGTGAGCCACAGGGAGGTGGATGAGCCCAACCACGAACCGAAGAAGACGTCTGCAGGGAAGAGAATCTCATGGAGGAGTGAAGATGTTCGTCGGGAACGAAGGAGCGAGTGGTATAGGAAAGGCAATACGAAGAAAGCAGGGAATAGGTACACCCAGGGTAGGCGCCAGCCTAACCAGAGGGGCATTGGGCCATCGCAAAGCCTAGTGTGGAAGAGAGGGAGCTGCTGGATGGAGTACGGGTTACAAGTGCCACTGTGAGGAAACAACGCACATATGGGAGAAGAGGAACCGAGAAGAGAGAAGATTGGCGAAGAGGAGATCATGGGAGGAAACATGGAGTACCTGTAGGACGCAATGGAAATGCAAGACTATCTCGGAGTGCACGACGCGGTGGAGGCGCTGCATGCACTGAATCTTAC